TCCATGATCCACGCCAAATACCCGTTGCACGATAATCACTTCTCATTCAATCCGACTCATTGACTAGTGGACCCGACATTTTGGCTGCAGTGGACCCGATATTTTCCCATGCACTTGTCCTATCCGTGTCCTGTCCTGTCTTGCTAGCCCCACTAGGTGCATAGTTCATTATTTCGCACATTACTCACGTTGTAGCAAACACTATTACATGTTTTCCCATAGTCCACAGCGCCTCATGTTTATTTACATGTACTTCGGATCCGAAATCATCGGCCGCTACTTTTGCCTACGGGTTCCGCATTTCTACATACTTACATATATATTGGACTGACCTCGAGCATTATTCATCATCCAAGTGGTGGGGAGCCATTCTCCAACACTTTGTGGTCAAACCCGATATTTCGTAGTTCTTAGTTGACATTGCGAATATTACCACTCTTTCTATCCAAAATAACCGTCATTATTGATATTCACCGCATACCGCTCGCTTTTCTGACATTTGTTGTCATTATTCTCCGTAATCCGCTGAACCCGCACCTGAAACCCGCTAGTCCACTAACCCAAAAACATCAGATCCGACGCTTTGGCGTTGGACTTGTGATTATACCTTCGAACTTTGTTTCTCGCGCTCGGACTTTTGATCACTTATCATTTCACTACCTTCAGACTTATTCCAGATAGCTAACCCCTCGGGTCGAACGCACTTGTCTTCAAGTATAGCAGACTAGGACGTGCAGACCACAACATTATTATATTGCTGGTTACTTACTTTGTGTAGTGTCCAGCAATTGTTGTCTCGTTACAACGCACCAAACCCGAAAACATCAGACATCAGACTTTGCACATCGGACTTCGGACATCAGACTATCGGACTTCGCATTGGACTATCAGATATTGCGCACACTCATCCTACCTATGTCCTGTGTCATTTCACTAGCCCCACTAGGTGCATAGTTACCTGTTTTCACATTGCTAACATTGTAGACCACATTATTACATGTCCGCAGCGCCTCATGTCTTATTACATAGGACATCGGACCTGAAAATATTGCACTACTACTTTCGCATGTAGGGTTCCAGATTTCTATGTATCTACATAAATATTGGACTCCCCATAGCATCATCATCATCCAAGTAGAGGAGAGCCGTTCTCTGACGCTTAGGGGTCAAACCTGATATTTCGTAGTTCTTAGTTGACATTGCGAATATCATCGTTCCTTCACCGCCCGTTATTATTGCGCATACCACTCACTTTCCTGACACACACTATCATGTCACTATTAGTTTTCAATACCCCAAACCCAAACCCAATAACCCCAAACCCCAAAAACATCAGACCCAACACTTTTGCATCGGACATCATAATTATACCTTTGGACTTTGTTTCCCGCACTCAGACTATTGATCCCACATCACTCACTGACCCCCAAAACTATTCCCAGACTGCAGACCCCTGGGTCGAATGCACTTGTCTCACCAAGTATAGCAGACTAGGTAGTGCAAGATCACAACATGAAGATATCAGTTTGGAGCCATCTTTTTATAGCCCCACTCTGTGTTGTATTCCTACATCAGGTTGGCATTGGGCGCGTATCTTGCCAATTCCACACATGTGACATGATACTCCTCGACACTCCTTTCCCCTTCCGAGAGTTCTGTGCACTCGTCTGAGTCATCTGAAGGTCGTCCATCTCCTTCCGAGGCCTGTATACACTTCCAGTCCCCCATACCACGTCCCATCTGTGTCTGTTTGACTTCACTGGTGCATTTTCACTTGGTTTATCTGTTATTGATTATGTCTTAGGGGCACATAGGTCGAAAAGCTTGATTAATACGTATAGCTGCGTGCCTCATGCACTATTACATGCATATCTCTGTAGTGGCTTGCCTTGAGTCTTATTACATTTTGGATAGCTTATCTCACTACTGTTCTCGCCTATGCAATTTCGGACTTTCACACTGTAGGATATAATCTGGCTCACTAACTACTCGCACTTGACTTCACTTTCCTTGCTACAAGTCATAGTTTGTAGAGTCACTTCAGATAGTTGTACTTCACGCAATTGATCTTTTGTTCATTCAGAATGATTGTTTGGCCTGACCGCTGCCATTTCGCATCTCACTGTCTCTTAGTTCTTCTGATAGGCTTTGTTTAGTTGTACCTCGGTACTTCTGCAAGTCTTATACTTCAACATACATTGACATACCCACTGTATTTCTCTCTTGGAACCTTCACTGTTCATTGGAAGCTCTTTGGATGCTTTGCACAACCTTGGACCTTTGTTTCTTGACTTTGGACCACTTTTGCTCACATCGGACAAGTACTTCAGTACTTCAGATGCATCTTCGGAACTCAGAATGCACTTTGGGTAACCTTTCCTTTTCTCATCTTCGATCTTAACAAGACATCCCTTGCATATTATATCAAGAGATAGTTCTATAGGCAGTCTCTTTGGGATGAGCATTACACTTGCACATTGAGTTTTAAGATAACACTATTGTAGCGCCTACACAGAATCAACTCTTTACATCAGACAAGTACTTCGGTACTTTGGACACATCTTCAGAACTCAGAATGCACTTTAGGTATCTTTCCTTTTCTCCTCTTTTATCTTAACAAGACAATCCCTTGCATTTTATATCAAGAGATAGTTCTATAGGCAGTCCTTTGGGATGAGCATCACACTCGCACATTGAGTTCTAAGGTAACACTATTGTAGCGCCTACACAGAATCAACTCTTTACACCAGTGTAATGAGACAACAATTGCTGGACACTACATGAAGTAAGTAACCAGCAATATAAAAATGTTGTGGTCTGCATGGCCTAGTCTGCTATACTTGCAAGACAAGTTCGTTCGACCCGAGGGGTTCGCTGTAAGGTATTAGAATAATCAGTTATATGAAAAGGAAGATAGTCTGAAGCGCAGGAAACAAAGTCCAAAGGTATAATTACGAGTCCGAAGGTAAAAATGTCGGGTCCGATGTTTTTGTTCAGGTTAGCAGGTTACGTCTCATTGGATTTGTGTCAGGAATGTAAGGAATGTCAGGGATAGTGAATGGTGGGTTAGTGTCAGTGTTTTCGGAGTGTTTTCGGATAAGAAAAGGATGATATTTGCGGAATTCAACAAAGAACTACAAATATCTAATGACCTCCTCCTACTCAGAGGTAGAAAGGTAAATAAGTAAGTAGGAGGTATGCGAAATATATAGTATCTATGTAGAATTTCGGAGTGCTATAGGTGAAAGTAGTAGTGGTAATTTTTGGATCCGATGTCCTATGTAATAAGACATGTGGTACTGCAGACATGTAATAACGCAGTCTACAGTGTTAGTGACATGAAAATGAATAACTGTGCACCTAGTGGGGATAGATACAACAGGACAGGACATAGGGAGGACAAGTGCGCGGGAAAGTATCAGGTCCAATGCGTAGGAAATGTCAGGTCCGTCGGACTAGCATCAGACTTTGTCGGGTTAGCATCGGATTAGTGGATAAACATTGGATTGAGCGGGTAAGTGTCAGATAACATTGGGAAGTGATTTGTGTGCGACATGCATTGGGAAATAGCTGAATATGTGCGCAGCGCGAGGCTGAGTGCTACACCGGTCTCTGTGTGACTTCTGTAGGATATACATTAATTATTTAGGTGATATCTGTCCTAAGATAAGATGTTCATTGTAAAGAGTTGATTCGTTGTAGGTGCTACAAAATGTATTACCTTAGAACTCAATGTGCGAGTGTAATGCTCATCCCAAAGAGACTGCCTATAGAATTATCTCTTGATATAAATGCAAGGAATATCTTGTCAAGATTGAAGATGAGAGAACAGGAATGATACCTAAAACACGTTCTGTGTTTCCAAAGGTGCGTCTGAAGTGTCTGAAGGTGGTCCAACGTCTAGAAACAAAGGTCCGAGGTTACACGAAGCATCCAGAGAATGTCCAGTAAACAGCAAAGGTTCCGAGAGAGAAATACGGTGGGTTTGTCAAAGTATGTTAAAGTATAAGACCAGCAGAAGTACCAAGATACGACTAGGCAAAGTCTATCAGAAAACTAAGAGATACCGAGATGCGAAATGGCAGCAGTCAGGCCAAACAATCATTCCAAATTGAACAAAAGATCGATTGTGCGAAGTACGACTATCCGAAGTGACTCTACAAACTATGACTCATAGCAAGGAAAGTGAAGTCCAGTGCGAGTATCTAGCGAGCCAGATTATATCCTACAGTGTGAAAGTCTGGAATCTGCGTAGGCAAAACCAGTAGTGAGATAAGCCATCTGAAATGTAATAAGACTCATGGTGAGCCGCTACAGAGATATGCATGTAATAGTGCATGAGGCGCACAGCTATACGTATTAATCAGGCTTTCCGACATATGTGCCCCTAAGACATAATTAATAACAGATAATTGAAGTGAAAAACGCACCAGCGAAGTCAGACGGACATGGACAGGACGTGGTATGGAGGATCGGAAGTGTATACAGGCCTCGGAAGGAGACGGACGACCTTCAGATGACTCAGCCGAGTGCACAGAACTCTCGGAAGGGGAAAGGAGTGTCGAGGAGTATCATGTCACATGTATGGTACCTGTGAGATTGGCAGGATACACGACCAACACCAGTCCGAGTGCTACATCGTCTCTATGGAAATTGTCAGTTTAATGGTCACCTGATGATGTAAATGAGGTGTATTGATTGAGACATACAGATTTTGGTCATCCAATGATATAAGCAGAGTGTATTCACAAAGACATACATATTATATTTTTACCTGCATATCTGAGGCAGCATGTCCAAGTACGTATAAATGATGAATGTCATGATACATCCGCTATACATGGTGGATATCTCTCTCAGTGATTGGCCAGTAATGTGCCATGGTGGTACTCAGACTCAGATCAAAAAACATGATGGAACACCATGCATTCAACAAAAGTAGACAATTTATATAATGATTAATTGATAACGAGGACTGTAAATGAAAGAGCGCACAAACTTTACCATAACAACTTCTTCTGAATTGTTTCCTGCCATGCAGGCTGTGAACCTTTTGTAAGAGATAAAACTTTGTGGCAACCAGGGAACTCCTGCAGATCAAGCTGGAGAAACTTGACCATTGCCCTATTCATTAGTCAGTAAGGTGAATAAATGGTGTATGGAGATATCATGTACTTGTGGTATGCATCTTTGTACCCAGCAGCCTGACCTCCTGATTGCTTATGTGCACTTTTGTGAAGCTGCTCTAGCATCGCATCAACATAGTTCCAAAATTTCAGCTTATTGCATGGTTTGAAGCTGCCATTGAGTCCAAAGCCAGATGTCACACAATCAGGAGTATCAAAAGACTTGTCAGGGATTCCATTTGCATCCACATCTGTAAAGGGATCTTCAATTGCAGTTGGATCAGCCTGGCGGTTCTCTTCATCAACCAGATTGTTGGTGACTGCGGCTGCAGTGGAGCTCACATTATGGCTGGTGGGATCATTGAGGCTTTTGTAGGCACTGGAGCGTTCTTCTTGATCCACAGATCCCTGGCCTGGGTGATACTCCGAAAATTCATCTGCTAACTGAACCATATCAACATTGAGCGCTTTCTCAATATGCTCTCTGAGATCTTGATTGAGCGAGGGGATGAGGTAAGGGGAGAAGGCTTCCTTGAGGGTGAGCTTTTCATGATCACAAACACCGATAAGGAAGATGTGAAGACAGCAGCACTGTCTCAAATTCAGTAAAAACAATCTGGATGCCTGAAGAAACCCACCAAAAATGCAAATCTAGTCCAATGCAAGGAGTCAACCTCTATGCCACTATGTATAAGTGATTTGAGGGCATCCATGATACTCAATCTCTTGCTGACTGACATGGTAAGCTGCGGATAGAATGATCACTGTGAACACTTTCTATTTTCATTCATTGAGAAAATATGTACTTTGCTTTTGATTTGGCCACGGATGGTTGACAAAAGCCGTGTGACCAATCTGCCAACTTGTGAGCGCAACTCAGTGTCTTCAAAGAGTCCCTCAGCAATCTTGAAAAGATAATTGTGCACTTGGATAAACTTGTTACGCTGTCTTACTAGGATGTGATTGGCAATAAAATTACCAGTTCTCACCATCCTCCACGGTCAATGGTTCAGACAAATACCAACGGTTGATAATGTGGTTGTTCATGGGAGGAGGCGTAAATAGCAGAGTCGTTCTAAACAAACTTCTATTGACTTTAGGTGTGTTGCAACAGTGACCGTTAACTGGCTTGATGCAGTGCTTAGGTACTATGAAAAAGTTGTTAAGTCTGTTAACTGGCGTGATGCAGTGCTTAGGATGCTAAAGATGAAGATTGTAAATGGTGTAGCCGAATCGATAACTGGCTTGATGCAGTACTACGATGCTACTAGAAGATGAATGCAAAAGTATGCAATACAAAGATGAAGATATGGTTCACAATGGTACACAATGAATCAGAGTATTATCTCGTAAACACTCCCTATTCTCAAAAAATTAGAGGAGATCAAACTAAGCCTCTAACACAATCGAATCAACTGAAATACATGACTTCAAAACTAACTTCTCTGCTGCTCAGGCACTCACGATGAGTATGACACAGAATCAGAACAGAGTACACCCTCTTGATGTAGTCTTAAAGCAGCCAAGCTCTTAATATTGTTGACTAAAGTGCTAGTCTTATTTGTCGTCTTCCTAATCATTAAAAATATGTAAATTCTCCCCACAGAAAAGGTATCCTGTGTCATAAAGAGAATGTGACGAAACTACAACTAGACGACTGATAACCATGTACCAGCTAGTGTAATTCAAGGATTGGCTCAAGATAGGCCTCAGAAGATCAGTATGTTGTGGGAAAAGATGACAAAAGAATGGAGGGAATAAACTTAATATTCACTCAGATGTTCACACAAATATAGGGTGAGAAAATTCAGGAAGATACTCAAATCCTCCTCCCTCTCTCTTAAAGGGGGATTGTCTGTCCTCTCAAAGGAAGATTGATTTCAAAAGGGAGATTGTCATTATTCAGAGGAGAAATAGAGCCCCTTATATACTATTCTAAATGTGGCTGTGTAACTATCTAAATAAGGAAATATGACTCATAGTGACTCAGACAAGAAAATGACTCATAATGACTCAAACTGAGTCATCATAGAGATGTCTCATGATAACTTGTTCACTTCTCGAATATTCTCATCTATCAACTTTCTCCATTCAAATTCCTGACTAATCCATCTCATCTTACTAATCCATTTTATCTGACTAAGCCATTAGTCACCCATGAACTGTTGATAGGTTGAAATGTTGAATTGAATATGTTTCAGAACATACAAAAGAAATGTGAAGAATGTGTGAGAAAATTATGATGTTGTGAGAAAAAAATGCTGAGTAATGTGTTATGGTATGTTTGGAACTTGTCTTTGAATAGGATAAGTATTAATTGAATTATTATGTAGTGTTATGGGTTTGTTATGTCTGAAAACTGCTCAAATCAAGTCATAATGTGTTATAGAAAATTCTTAATAACTTTGTAGAGTACAGTAGAGGATATTAAAACTCAAAAGTAGCCATGACCATGCACAAAACAAGTTTGGTGCGTGTCAATGCACTCAAATAGGTCTGTTATGTGGAGCCCTAAGAGGGGTGTCGTCCGCTAACATTCATAATGTAACCAGAAGGATCCGGTATAGTGAGTGAGACTGGCGACGACGAGTTGGCAGTTATCACAGATGCGTGTGTCACGTGACTTCTAAGATGACGGTCTTTGAAGTCACTAGGCTCAAAGTGCGGACTGCCTTGTCTGACAATGAGACTATCGATCGAGGTAGACTTAGGTGCAAAGAGCACCTAAGAAAAGATACTAGAGACTGAAGCTGAGGGGGCTTCAGAGAAGAGTATGTTTCAGGGAAGATTGAGTAGATTCAAGTTAGAGAATCTAGTACAGGATGACCGACTACTTATACCAAGTGGAAAGGGTTCAGGGCTGGGTTACCGTACTGTAGGTAAGGGCAAAGGGGAAACAGAAAGGGTATAGGTACGCTGGCAACACAGCCTGATTAGTGATGGTAGGTCGAATGTGGAATGAGACTGAGAAACATTGGAATGACCCAGCGGTAAAGATACAATATGCAGCATGCACGAGTCAGAAGAGATAAAAAAGGAAAGCCACATTGGTGGCATGAGTCAGGACGAGTCATAGTGCCAGGACACGTGCGCACGTTGGTGTGTTATCTAGGATAAGGTTGTGAAGGGGATGGAGACAAGGGACGAGAACAGTCCCGAGGATCCGGTCGATGGATATTTGGTAAAGGAGCGTGAGCCGGTAGATGGTGAGGGCGAGGATGAAGGGAAAATGATAGGGGGGCCACGTGACCGATGTTACTTGTAACAAAACTCCTGCAGTATGAACAATGAGCATTTAAGGCAATAAGAAGTAAATCTGAACTACCATCACATGTCGATGTGTATCAGTGATATAGGCAGTCAGGTTTGAAGATAGCATACATGTGGTAAGGCAGTGCAACGAGACAACAATTGCTGGGCACTACACAAAGTAAGCAACCAGCAATATAAAATGTTGTGGTCTAACACAGCCTAGTCTGCTATACTTGCGAGACAAGTGCATTTGACCTGAGGGGTTCACTGTAAGGTTTTAGAATAATCAGTTATACGAAAAGGAAGATAGTCCGAGTGCAAGAAACAAAGTCCGAAGGTATAATTACGAGTCTGAAGGTAAAAACATCGGGTCCAATGTTTTCGGGTTTTCAGATTAGTGGGTTTCATTGGGTTACATTAGATTAGCACCAGATTTGTGTTGGGAATGTAATGAATGTCGGGGATAGTGAATGGTGGGTTAGTGTCAGTGTTTTCGGAGTGTTTTCGGATAAGAAAAGGATGATATTTGCGGAATTCAACAAAGAACTACAAATATCTAATGACCTCCTCCTACTCAGAGGTAGAAAGGTAAATAAGTAAGTAGGAGGTATGCGAAATATATAGTATCTATGTAGAATTTCGGAGTGCTATAGGTGAAAGTAGTAGTGGTAATTTTTGGATCCGATGTCCTATGTAATAAGACATGTGGTACTGCAGACATGTAATAACGCAGTCTACAGTGTTAGTGACATGAAAATGAATAACTGTGCACCTAGTGGGGATAGATACAACAGGACAGGACATAGGGAGGACAAGTGCGCGGGAAAGTATCAGGTCCAATGCGTAGGAAATGTCAGGTCCGTCGGACTAGCATCAGACTTTGTTGGGTTAGTGTCCGATTAGTGGATAAACATTGGATTGAGCGGGTAAGTGTCAGATAACATTGGGAAGTGATTTGTGTGTGACATGCATTGGAAAATAGCTGAATATGAGCCTAGTGTAAGCTTGAGTGCTACAGCAGCTCTTCAGTGCACTCTGCAAATAGCCAGTTATGGAATAGATGAGAACAATCAATCAGCTGCACCTTGAAATCCTTAGAAGTCAGTAGTTTCTCAAGTTCTTGTAAAGTATTTATTTTGTTCCCTTCTTCTTGTTCAAGCTGACCAGCCCTTAATTCTAGAAGCATGACAAACAAATCACCATTCTTGGTGAAATTGAGATAAAACTTGATCAAAATAATACAGAAAGGTAGAATAGATTGTACCTCAATAAATGCCAGTAAGTTCTTCAAAGGTATTCCATGTTCAATAGCAAGCTGTTGTGCATATGTTTGGAGTTGCTTGGTGTGTCTTGGAGTGAGACAGGCTGCATTGGTGCTGGAATCCCTCCAACGCTGAACACCTGTGCTAATAGGTGTGTTGAGATCAGACGATCTGCTTGGAGAACCTGGGCATGAAGGACTAGTCAGAACAATTGAGGTATCTGGAAGAGGATTCAAAGACTGTGATTGAGAGCCTGAGGTGGTAGGCTGCCTGCAAACAACAGGAGCAGAGTGGGTTGAGAGTCCCGTGTCAGACCCAAGCAGTGAGCAAGCATGAGGTCTACCATCCTAGAATGGGGCCAACCCCTGCACTTGTGGTCCAGGACCAATGTTATTTGCTCTCTGGAAGCCCCCAGATGTTGAGCAGAGTGGAAAACAATTAAGCATCATCTTGGGAGGTCCTTTCTTCAGACCCTTCAGTCACTGGGCATGTAGAACCAGTATCCTGGACATGAAAAATGCCCACAGAATGTGTACCAGCCAATGTTGGCTGGGCCATGTAGATATAGGGCTGGCCGATAGGATAGATTTAGCTGTGGCCAGTGTCCCCAAATCATGTAGGAGGTAGAGTGTGAATGGCCGGCCATGTAACCATCACAGGCTGATGAAACTATCCTGGCAAGCAGGTTGGCCATGCAGGTAGAATGTGTGCTGGCCAGAGATAGATGTTTTCTCCCTTTGGCCAGCACCACTAGCATATGCATGTAATAGCATGCTGGCCATGTGTATAGGAATAGTCCTGGCTGGGATTGATGTTTTCTCCCTCTGGCCAGAACTGCTGGCACAGCCATATACTAGCAAGCTAGCCGGATATGTAGAGACAGTCCCAGCTGGAACTAGATGTTTTCTTCCTCTGGCCAGAACTGCTAGTACTGCCAGATACCAGCATGCTGGCCAGACATGTAGGGACAGTTCTGGCCAGGACTAGATGTTTTCTTCCTCTGGCCAGAACTGCTAGTACTGCAGGGTACTAGCAGGCTGGTCAGATATATAGAAACAGTCCTGGCCGGGGATAAATATTTTCTGTCTCTGGCCAGGACCTCTAGCATAGCCAGGTACTAGCACACTGGCCAGATATATAGGGACAGTTCCAGCCGGGACTAGATGTTTTCTTCCTCTAGCCAGAACTGCTAGTACTGAAAGGTACCAGCAAGCTAGCCAGATATGTAGAAACAGTCCTGGCCGGGATGGATGTTTTCTGTCTCCGGCCAAGACTGCTAGCACAGCCAGGTACTAGCAAGCTGGCTGGATATAAAGGGACAGTTCTAGCCAGGACTAGATGTTTTCTGCCTCCGGCCAGGACTGCTAGCATAGCCAGGTACTAGCAAGCTGGCCGGACATGTAAGGACATTTCCAGCTAGGACTAGATGTTTTCTTCCTCCGTCCAGCACTGCTAGTACTGCAAGATACCAGCAAGCTGGCCAGATATGTAGAAACAGTCCTGGCTGAGGATAGATATTTTCTGTCTCCAGCCAGGACCCCTAGCACAGCCAGGTACTAGCACACTGGCCAGATATGTAGGGACAGTTCCAGCCAGGACTAGATATTTTATTCCTCCAGCCAGAACTGCTAGTACTGCAAGATACTAGCAAGCTGGCTGGATATGTAGAAACAGTACTGGCCGGGACTAGATGTTTTCTTCCTCCAGCCAAAACTGCTAGTACACTCAAGTACTCAGAAGCTTGCTGAATCTATAGTCAAGGTGTGAGCCAAGATATCTAGTACAGTTGTGTACAATGTATATAGTCCCACTTGTTAATACCATAACATCTTTGTTCTTCATGTACACCACAACTGGCCAGCCTTACAATGTATAATATTGAAACACCCATAATGAATTCAGACATGAAACAAAACAACACTTTGAATATGACATGGTATTTGAACTTATTTGCACAAAGCCTTCTTGGAGGGTTGTCTGGCTCTGGAAGATTGGTGAATATCATCAGTCCTGGACTTCTTCCAAGAAGTTTCCTCATGGCTCAAAGTTGTGTCTCTTCTCTATCACCACCTGTACCACCTGTTCTTCTCTGTCCTTCTCCTGCTCCTCGACATCAGCACGATCTTCATGCCCCTCATCAACCTGGTGCCTATCTGGTTCTGCACCTTTCTCCAGCATCTGTTTCACTTCCTCTAGCTTCTCCTTGGCCTCCTGAAGCTTTCTCACTTCCTCCTTCAATGTGACCATCTTTTACCTCTCCTCTTCCAGCAACTTTGTCTCCTGCTGCTGTTCAATCTTATTCCCCTGCACCTTCTGTCCTCCAGGTGCTGCATTCTGAGAAATATCTCCTGATCCATCTCCTTCAATGTCATCACCTTCCTGAGGCTGCTTGCTCGCCCTTGCCTTACACAAGCGGACTACTCCTCCTCTAGCTGTGTTAATGATCTCCAATACGAGATCAAGACATTTAATATCCAAGACTGATGTGCTAATGTAAGAGAGGATGTCGGGGGTGGCTTCATCCGGCTCATACTCAATGACTTGCTTGTATTCCCTCAGCAGCATCCCAAGACCAAGTGCTACTCACATGGCTGAAGCAAAAGAAGAGATCTTGGTAGATTTGACAAGGTGTAAGAACTTGAGTAGTTCATTGTCCGAGTCATGCACAGTGTTGGGAAGATATGATCTTTCCCAAGACCAAGTTTCCCAGGTAGGCCATCCCTCTGGATGCTCAGAGGCTTGTTCCTTGGTCAGGTCAGTATAAAGTTTCACAAGTTGAATATCAATTGACATCATACTGTCATATCCCGCGTTCCGGATCCGGACCTATCACACTCATCATTTCCGGATTTCCGGATCTGGCCGACTTCTATGTATTGTCCGGATCCGACCCGCGTCTAACCTCCGTGCCTTATCCCTTTGGTATTTCCCTTATCAGTTAGTACGCTTTATTTTCCGTCCCTTATTCATTTCCGTCTTCATTTTACTAAGTTCTGATAGACTAGTGATAGTCGTCCCATATGTTTTATCCATAGCTTTACATAGCCTCGCACTGCACTTACTGTTCTCTGTTATGTCCTCAGTAGTATATAAACCCTGTACAGTCTCTGTAGTTTCCTCAGTTCGAATATCATCTTAGACTCTGCTCATTCTCTCCTCCGTCTGACTTGAGTTTCTCTCTCGTCGACCTCCACTCGTCTTAGGATCGACTCCTATAGACTTGTTACCTCCATCTCTACCTCTGGTAGTCCTCCGCTGTTTCCTTTCTAGTTCGGACTTCGTCCGGATTAGTTTTATCTCTTGTTTCCGAATGTCCACCGGAATTCCCGCACATCGGACATCGGACTCCGGACATCGCCCGACGCCCTCCGGACATCGCCCAACGCCCTCCGGACATCGTCCGGTAACCTTCGGACATTGTTCGACAACCCTCGGAAGTTAGGGGCACGTACTCGGGTAAGGGGCACAGCGCACGAGCTGAAGCCAAGCCCTTCGGATCCGACCCTTGAGCACGTTCTTAACACATACCTTTTGCAAGTCTCTCAGGTCCTCAACAAAATGCAGATATTCATGATTGCTGCTGAGAACCCGCAGAAACGACATACGGTCCTTCATTGGCACAGCTGCAGGTGCCCCAACTTGAGCTGAAGATGGATGACCAGCAAGCCCTTTTACATGTGGTGTAGGAGCTGACATAGCTTTGTCCTCCTCTGAGGTATCTGAGTAATTGGCCGGCTTCCTTGTACGCTTCGTAGGCCTTGAGCTGGCCGACTTGTTGAAGGTGGTATCATTGGCCGGCCTTTTCACACGGCTAGTAGGTGTAGGGCTGGCTGTAGTATCAGACTCCATGTCCTTAGCTGGCCGGTCTGTAAGTATTGTCAAAAGTTGGGCAGGCGAGGATGGCCGTGCATGTTCTTTGTCAATTTCCACATATATTTTTTTCTTCTTCAACCTTTCTACCAGAATGGCATTTGCCAGCCGGGAAGTGCTCAAGTCAGTGACCCTACTCCCAACAAAAATGATTAACTTCTCCCCTCCCAACTTCCTGAGCTCCCAATGGCGCCAAAGCCTATTTACATCTGCTGCCCTCATGTGAGAGGGGTCTTTGAAGACAAAACCCTTGGGGACACAATTCAGATCTACGTAGGTTGTAGGATCCAAACTGACCACACCCCAAGGGACAGGCTTGCTGCTGCCAGTGAAGACTTCTACCAAAAAGACATCACAGGTGAGACGGAGCAAATTTAAAAACAAACATCCACTGACTATATGATGCATGAACGATTTGACGAATTAATTCTTGTTGCCCTTTGAGGGGAACATCAGTTTGTGAAGGTAGTTGTCCGAAGCCTTCCTTGTCCAAGACAATTTCAGGTAAGGATGGCTTGTCCTCCTCCTCCTGGTCTTCATCCTTGTCCTCATCATCACAAGGGTCTAGTTAGATTATGTACATAAGTATCAAGTATGGACTGCATGGTCTAAGAAAATGAATGACTTACAAAATTCTTGTTTTGACCACTCGGAAATTTTTTTGAAGCCATTGGCCACCCATTCCTTGTTGCCTGCTGAACTTACTGTAAATGCCTTCTTGCATGAAAGAGGTTCAGACTCATGGCTAAATCAATATAAGATCCTATAATTTGACTGTCAGAGTAACAGAGAACACGCACATGGAGACATCCAAGGACATCTCCCCAGGTTTCTTGTGGCTAACGAGCATGACAATTCAACATCCCATAGTACAATGAATCTCCTGTGAAAAGGCATTGAGGTGTTTTTTGAGGTTCCTCTTATGGTACCTGGAAACATGTTATAGAAGAAATGAATTTGTAGAATTGACAACTTATATTGCCTAAGATTCTGGCGGGGCACCTTCTTCATTCCACTTGTCCCTCACCTGCTGAACTTCCTTCTTTTGTCCAAAGGTCATACTATTGAACCACTGCTGGGCATGTCCTATCTGGTGCTTGATAAAATGAGGGACCCCCATCTTCCATTGCTCTTCCTTGTCGTAGTCATCCATCTCCTACTTGAAGAGCTTCTGGGCAACATCCCAATCAGTAAGCTGCTTCTTGTAGAAGGAAGCATCCTTGGGATGAGCATTAGCTTCTCTCTCTTCTTGAGATACAGCAGACTGGTATCCCTCTTGTTCAGCACATAATATATCGACCTCGGCCTTTCGATCATCCTCATCAGTGATAAACTGGTGATAGTAATGTCTAATGGCCTTTCCATTACATAGTGTCAGCAACATTGAGAATTTAAATAAATAACATTACCCTTTTCAAGGCCTTTGGCAGATCCACAGGATCATTCTGCAAGTCTCAAAAATTGACAATAATGTCTCGTACATTTTGAAGAACTTGACGACGACATGTCGTTTTGGATCTTTTGCCGCCAAGCAATCCTCCTTGTGCTCAGCAAGGATCTCTTCAAATGACACATACCAGTCAGACATTGAGGGATTGAGAGACATAGGCAAGATTTGTGCAAGATGTAGGTAGGATACTAGCCGTGATGTGTACAAAATTTCAACAATGCAGTCATGTGTGCTGTGCATTAGAGGGACTGATTTCACTCTTCGAAACACATCAAGCAACAAACATGTTTCATTTAACTAAGTCCAAATGAAAATGAAATAACATGATTGAAATGTAATGTAAGTATGATGTAACTAAAAAAATCACTGCTGCGCCCTCTTTGCTAACCCTCTAGATGCATCCACCTGGCTCTTGCATTTTCCTGTTGTCAAAGGAGGTGAATAAAATGTAGATGGTGCCTAGAACCATCCACACTTGGTGGTCCTTGCTGAGTTCACCATGAAATCTGGAGGTCTCTTAATGACAAATTTGTGAGGTGGGAGCTTCTGGGCGGTACTACAGTTGGAGTACTTGCAAGAGTAGAAATACCTTGTGACAGATAGCTCAGATGTTACAGCAGACTAATGAGAGTCTGCACGAACTGTCAAAGCAATCTTTTCAGACCAGCTTTTAATAGAACCACATTGAGGGCACTGCATAGGCACCTCAATTCCCCAAGGCTGAGTCTGGGTGTGGGCGCATGCAAATATTGTGCACTCCAGCTGGTGATGTAGACTAGTGGGGTCCAGAGTCACGAGGATGACCTTGGTGTGTAATCCAAGGTGGCCAGACAATGATAGCAGCTCAGGGAAGGTCTTGTGCACACAGAGCTGTTCCACCAACACCAGCTCTACAAACACTAGGAAGAAGCTGGAAGCCACAAGTGGCTGGAAATGTTTAGCCGTGAATACGATAGCGGAGGCAAATTCAAAGTGAAGGACAGCTGACATGAGCTGGTTGTAGGGCTTGGGATGTACAAATACAGAGCCACAGACCAGAAAAACGATATGGTCATTCTTGAGGACTGTTGAGTAAGCCGAAAGTACAGTAGAGAGCACCTAAGAAATAATTGTTACCTTGTTATAAATGAATGAGAATTTAGAAGTACTCACATGAGAAACTGTCATGACGACATATTCAAGACCACTTCCATTCTCCTTTGGTGCTTGACCAGCATAAAGCCAACCACAATCTTGCTCCAAGTGATCCGAAAAAAGGCAACAACATGGCCGTTGTGACCAAGGTGTTGAGTGATGTACGCCACTCAGTCAACCTGTGAGAGTTCATACTTGCTGATCTTCTCATGGAAGGTGATGTTGAAGGTGACTTTGACATATATGAAGCCCCCATTGGAGTAGAATGTCTCCAGGAACTTACAAATAATGGAGACTGGCATGCAGATGGGGTCTTCACTACTAAGGATGAAGTAAATGAAGGCGATGGGTCTGGCGGCCATGATTGAAGATGAAGTCATCTCATATTTGCTATTGAGGTGCAAGAAGCTTGGTAGCACCTCCTTGCCACCCTAACTGGGGAGACCACCATTATAGAATCCCTGTAATACTTGTATCAATTTGACCACTGCAAAAAAAAGAAATACTTACATAGAATGGTGCTGGAGACTTCAATGTTGCTTTGGAGTGACATGCCAAGCAAATGAAGGAGACTATTGGACTTTACACAATATCAACATAATAGTCTGGAACTTCAATGCATTTACTGCACATAACACAAGGGCACACATTACACTCATACAGGACAATTGGACCCTCACCACCATCCCTACAGATCATGCACCACTTGAAAAAATGTTAGAGATAGAATGAAATAAGCAATACTTACTCACCACACTGTGGGCATCTGCAGTCTCTAACATTGGGGGTGGGATGGCCAAAGTAGGGCTCACACCTTGACTACAGATTCAGCAAGCTTCTGAGTACTTGAGTGTACTAGCAGTTCTGGCTGGAGAAATAAAACATCTAGTCCCGGCTGGAACTGTCCCTATATATCTGGCCAGTGTGCTAGTACCTGGCTATGCTAGAGGTCCTGGCCAGAGACAGAAAATATTTATTCCCGGCCAGGACTGTTTCTATATATCTGACCAGCCTGCTAGTACCCTGCAGTACTAGCAGTTCTGGCCAGAGGAAGAAAACATCTAGTCCTGGCCAGAACTGTCCCTACATGTCTGGCCAGCATGCTGGTATCTGGCAGTACTAGCAGTTCTGGCCAGAGGAAGAAAACATCTAGTTCCAGCTGGGACTGTCTCTACATATCCGGCTAGCTTGCTAGTATATGGCTGTGCCAGCAGTTCTGGCCAGAGGGAGAAAACATCAATCCCAGCCAGGACTATTCCTATACACATGGCCAGCATGCTATTACATGCATATGCTAGTGGTGCTGGCCAAAGGGAGAAAACATCTATCTCTGGCCAGCACACATTCTACCTGCATGGCCAACCTGCTTGCCAGGATAGTTTCATCAGCCTGTGATGGTTACATGGCCGGCCATTCACACTCTACCTCCTACATGATTTGGGGACACTGGCCACAGCTAAATCTATCCTATCGGCCAGCCCTATATCTACATGGCCCAGCCAACATTGGCTGGTACACATTCTGTGGGCATTTTTCATGTCCAGGATACTGGTTCTACATGCCCAGTGACTGAAGAGTCTGTAGCTGTTAGATATTAGAATGAAAAGGAAGATAGTCCAAGCATGGAAAACAAAGTCCAAAGGTATAATTATGATGTCCAAAGGTAAAAATGTCGGGTCCGATGTTTTTGGGTTTTTGGATTAGTGGGTTACGTCGTGTTGCATTGGGAATGTATTGTAAAGTTAGAGAATGTTAGGGATAGTGAATGGCGGGTTACTGTCAGTGTTTTTGGAGTGTTTCAGATAATGAAAGGATGATATTGTGGAATTCAGCAAAGAACTATGAATATCGGATAACCTCCTCCTACTTGGAGGTAGAAAGGTAGATAAGTAAGTAGGAGGTATGTGAAATATATAGTGTCTATGTTGAATTTTGGAGCACTATAGGTGAAAGTAGTAGCAGTAATTTTTGGGTCCAATGTCCTATGTAATAAGACATGTGGTACTGTGGACATGTAATAACACTGTCTACAATGTTAGCGACATGAAAACAGATAACTGTGCATCTGATGAGGATAGATACAACAGGACAGGACATATGGAGGACAAGTGTGTAGGAAAATATTGGGTCTAATGCGGCCGAAATGTCGGGTTCATCAGATTAGCATTGGACTATGTTGGGTTAGTGTTAGGTTAGTGGTAGGCATCAGCACAGATATGGGTAACCCACATGGGTCATGAGAATAGGTATGGGTACAGCTGCTAGGTACCTAGTACCCGTCCAATCCAAAATGGGTAGCAAGCCTATATTTTGACAAAACTTTAAGTTAATATAACTGTACAGTGGCCAATCTCAATTATATCAAACCAATCACAACTAATAGAACCTCCAGAATCTCACACACTACCTCCCTCGACAGCCATGTTTGGCAAGCATATCACCAAACTCACAGAGAAAGCAGCCCAGGCCATTGCAGATGGAGCACAAAGCTGAAAAGGAAGGCCAATAGTTTTAGCCATAAGGAACAACCAAAGAAATCCAAGAAGGCACCTTCAACATTCAATGAATCTATCATCACCTCATCTCTGAGCCCCCCATCTGATGCTCCCAATGGTCAGCTGAATCTTCACCATCAAGCCAATGTTCACACCACAAAGGAAGAACAATCATTGCACATAGACACTATTGTCATTGACTCAGACATTGAGTTAGTAAACTCAAAGCACAGTGGTGCAGAATCACAAGCCGACTCATCAGACACAGAGCTTGGTGTGTGGCAAATTACTATATTAACTACAATAGTCATTATTTGATACAGAGCAGCTGAAAAAGGATAGTCCTCACCCATGTATGCCTTTTTTGAACCCATTCCGAGTATCAAGTATACCGGTGGCTGCCATTCACATGTGTTCAAGTGTATGGCCAAAGAATTTAAGCAGCGTGTCTGCCACTATCTTGATAAGGGAGATGCCAAGTCCATGAGTAACATGGCCAAGCATGCTAAAAACTGTTGGGGTGAGGCTGCATATCAAGCTGCACAGGGTTCTGGGACTGCAGAGTCAGCATACAAAACTGTAGTGCAAAGCATACTTCAAATAGGCTCAATAACTTCATCATTCAAGAGAAAAGGTAAAGGGAAGATAACCTACTCCCACAGGCAGCACTCAAAAACAGAGGTGTTAGAGTTAGCACATAATGGAGATGAAGGTATGAGCACAACAAGGAAAGCTTAGTAATACATAGAAGGATGAGTAATGTAGGGAATGACTAATAACCGGTAATGTCCGAGACGGACATTATTTGTCATCAACTCGCAGACCATAGACAAGTCCGTGCTTACACATATACGGACCGGGTACTTACATTTAGCATACCTTAGTATATATACTGTAGTGATATTTACAATAGAATTCAGTCAAAATATTATATTCAATCCTATTCCAAAGTCTACATAGTTCTACAAGAGGTCTGTGCTGAAATAATTTGATGGGTTATGGAGAGCTTGCAACCATTCAAAACTGTTAATGATCATGGTTTTCAGGCACTGATGAAGGCCAGAAGGCCAGAATACCATATCCCATCACCACCAATAGTCTCTTGAGATGTGAAGCTGGTTTTTGCAAATGTCAGGTAGCAAATAACATACATGTTGCAAACTTACGACGGTGACATCAACTTCATGATGGATGCTTGGACATCCCAAAGCCACAAAGCCTTTGTGGCAATCATGGTCCATCTCGAGTATGAGAGCAAGCCACTTGCGATGCTCCTTGATATTGTTGAGGTCACAAAATCACACTCAGGACTCAACCTTGCAGAGGCATTTGCACTGGTACTATCAGATTTCAGAATTTCAGACAAGGTATAGAGTCCTACCATACTATTATACTACAATGAACCTACATCCTCAACAGATCCTTAGAATCACAGCCTGTCAAATGCTGTTGGTCAATAATCTGCATCTCATGACTGAAATCTGCCCTCCATGGCATACTCTTCTGATGAAAGACCTGAAGATCTCCATCTTCGTGCTCACTCTCGTCAGAGCTCATGCCATCTTTGCCAAGATTCTCCACAATAGATTGTAGATACGCCCACACAGCCTTATCATCCTTCCCTGTCGCATTCCTATCACTCAGTAGTGTCAACGTGACTTTTTTCGAGTTTCAAACTTCTAGTGCATAGTTCAATACTCTTCTCTGAAAAAAACAAAGTAACTGACCGTCGCCCTGCGAGTGATGACCCTAGTGAGCCGCAGTCACTCATTTGTCTGATCCACGAGTCAATCTCCCACTTGTTGCATGGTCTCACGAGTACCGTCGCTGAGGCTGAGAGGCTGAGCCTTTCTCCAACACCTGCGGCATTGACTGAATTTCGTTATGATATCATCTTTGATTGATTGAGGAGATCGCCTAGACCATTGGTTGATCGCTTGCAAAGTTGTATACTGGGTGCAGAGTAAATCAATGACTTTTTGGTTCCACTCGGACCTGTATGTAGTCGCCATATCCCATTGCATTGCAAGTGGGTCAGGACCTGTGCCCATTCCATGTGTGAAAGACAATATGGCTTCACGCGACGCCGGCACATGAAGCATATACTCTTCGTCTTTTGTGGCATGGAATGCAATTTTGAACAATTCTCGGACATTTGCCTGACATTGTTTCCGTGAGCAGAATCATTTGCTTTAAATAATCACAGACCTTGTTATCCCGGCACTGGGTATCAGTAAAACTTTCGACAGGGGGTTTAGGCTGTTTGTGTCCTGAGCGAGGTCCCCGGGGAGACGTTGTTTGAGAATTCTGAAGAACCTTTGCGAGTGCCTCAGCAAGCATGCTGACAGTCGCATTCCCAATCGGGACGTCTCCTAAGAGTGAAGTCAGGGGCATACTACTATCCATCTGGAGTTCCTCGTCTGCATCAGATTCTGAACTGGAATCAGAAATCTATGACGTGCGGTATCAGGAGACAGAATGAATGTGAGACCTGTCAACTTACTGGTGAAAATCCAATGATGTTGGTACATGTAGCCACAGGTTTTTTGCCCATGAGATGCCGCCAGGCAGGTGTTGACGCAGGTGATGCAGTGTTGGCATGTCGAATTTGACTCTGTGAATTCATGAGAACTCTGCATACCAGTGTGTCAATACGTACATCCAATGAATTAATCTTGGAACTATACTTGGCATCCAAGCAGGTTAATTCAGCTTCATTGTCGGCCAAAAACCTATCTCTTGCTAAACACATTTCGCGTTCAAATTGAACCTCTTTCTCCACCAATAAGTGTTCTATTTCAGCGCGGCCCTTGTTTTGGGCTTTATGAAGACCAAGTGCCATATTGTTCTGTTAATGCAAGTCAGAATGCTGATATGGCGGTGAAAGAATCCTACCTGAAGCTCTGCTACTTCTTTACGATGGTTCTGGTCCAAGGAGGCGAGGGCATTAGCATTGTCACGCTGAAGAGATTGGTTCTGTTGCTGATACTGTGCAATGGCCAACTGCATATCTGATTCGCGAACGTTCGAGGTGACCTGAAGCGAGTTAAGTGTGAACGTGAGGGATGTGAGACTACATGCACCTGCGTGTTGCGTTTCCGGAGTAGAAGATTATGGTTGCTAAAATGTAGCTCGCGCACATCTTCACGCAGCTTGAACGACTGATCGACTTCCTTGAGAAAGACTTTATTTGGCTAAATATTCGTTATTCGTTAGTTGACACAAGGAGCCGAATTGGATGTTCCTCACCCGCTGCTTGTCGTCATCTCTCACCCTACGGACAGACTGCCAAGGATTATCTAACTCCATCAGACACTCCTTGCTAGAGGAAATGACTGGCTATGGTGGGTACGTGTGAGTTATTGCTGAGGGACGACAGTCATCGTGATCTACACTAGCCAATGTACCACTCGCAGGTGGGTATGTATGGGCTGTGGTCGGAGGAAGCTTGTTGAGAGGGTGTGACTCAATAGCTTCAGGGACCGGATCGTCCGAAGAGAAGAAGGACATTAGACGAGACATCTTGATGCAAGAAATTATTCTGCAATTCACAACTTATCTGAGGACGACTTACCTGGTTGTGTAACTGAGTGTGAAAACGTTGGTTGTCACCTTAATTTATTCCTGAGTACATACAAGCAAAACCAACTGAACAAAACAGACAATAAGTTCTTATCATGACTGCTTCTGATACATTCGACTACTGCTTCCCAACTCCTTCCGAAATGATGGGGTCTATTGAAATTTACGAGAACCTTTGTGTCGCGCCTTGGCAGAAGTATTTTTTAGTTGCATCTGAATTATATCCCCGACTGGCCAACTCCCATGATAATCAGCCAGTTCTGGAAAATGGCCTAGAGCCTTGAAAAGAAGTTAATATCAAGCAGCCATAGCAACCGCAGACATATCTCTTTATAAACCTGAAGCAAAGCAGCCGGAGCTTGAAGTTTCTTGCTTTTGCCAACATGACAATGCTTCTCGATAGACCGGTGAATGTATTCCTAATGTTATGTGAGGATGAAAAAAAAATTGATAAGCGCAATCCCACTTTGAGATTCTTGAAGCGCTCAGCATCCCAGTTAAGTGCCTTTTCCAAGTTGTACCCACCACGGCCAGGACGCCCAGCCTCACCCTCCGGTTTGGGGATCTTGGAGTCCTTGGAATCTATGGAGGACAAGGAGGAATATGTTGACACCTTCTCAGACTCGTTGTTCTGTGTGAACTGTTCTGGCGAGAAGGAGACTAATTTGATGACTTTGGGAGTAGGTGTGGGAGGAGGGATGGGTGTGATTCTACAAGACATGATTGTGAAGACACATGAAGGAGTAGGACTGCGTCCCCTCAGTGGAAGGGTAGAGAATGCTATCTCTTCTTGTGGAGATAACAAGACGAGCGATAATGTATGACAAAACATCTCTGTATGATATGTCAGTAATGGAAGGGCCTGGGGAGGACCTTCAGATTCATGAAAAGGGGTGACGGGAGTAGAAAATTGAGGCATGACTGACTTTGGAACTGAACAGAGCCAGGAAGATATTTAATGGATGACGGCAATCCGGGCCTAGATCGGAACCCAGCGCCTGCCCAGGGTTGCCTGGTAATGGTGTTGTCGTCTTATTGTATACCACCTTATAAAAGTGTTCAACTCAGTCTTGGCATTTATAACTACCATGCTTTTCCTATCCACCAACGGCTGCAAAGAATATCAGCTTGAAGGGCACCTCATCAGACACAAGAATGCCATCAATTGCCTAGCAGTCTCTCACAATGGAAACATGTTGGCAAGTGGGGGTAAGTGGAATATTCAGAATGACATTTTACACACTCACCCAAGTACAGGCTCAGACGGCATGAGGATCTGGGACCTCAAACGATGAGTGCAGCTCCCAGCTCCACGTCAAACCCCAGCCATCCAAAATCCAGCAGATCTGGTGACCTGTGCATGCTGGATAACTCGGCAAGAAGCAACGCGTGAGACACTATGCTATGGCACAGGGCTGGGTTTCATAAGCATTTGGCAACAGCAAGGGGAAGACTCAAAGGACTTCCACACAAAAGTATCAGAATGAATTGGGACAGGTAAAGAGATCATGTGTCTTACATATGACCACACCGGCGACAAAACTCGCATTGCAAGCAGAACACACAACAGATGGGTTCAAGTATGGGCATTTGACTCCAAAGGACCGTTGATACCGATCTTCAGTGTTGAGCTGTCCACCATGATCCCACGCACTGTCCAATTCAAACGAACGGCAAGTAAAAACCTGTTAGTATTCGGGATGTATGATGGCGAAATGTAGGTGCACATGCATACATATTATCAATGAGTTCAATGATGTTTTTTAGACATACACTTCAAGGCTCAGATGGTACTATCATCGGTACAAACAAGGCTGAACCTATGATGTGAGTGTTGGCATTGAACAAGTCAAAATCTACTCACCAATTTACCAAAGCGGGCACACTGCTGTAAACGCCCCTCAAACACTATTCCTAATCGACAATGTGGTTGATGGATTCAGCCTACATTGTTTGGAAGATGGAGCCTGCATCTGTACCTACAATACCAATCCAGTGAAGACATTCCCAAAACAGGTTGTTTTTGAGGACCGGGCTACCCTTGTTGTTGGAGGTAGCGACACAGGAACTATTCGTATTTTCAACAAGAATGACGGTGCCCTTAAGCAAGTATTGCAACACGCAGACAGGGGGTGAGTCCAAACTGTAACAGTAAGTTATTTCATTGATCAAATGAACGTGAATTTGACCAAGTACAAGACGTACGACAGTCCACAACACAGCCTGATTTTTGGAGCAACATCTACCAACGATGCAGAACCGACCATCTCCATCTGGTGTCACAAACGTGCGACATCACCAAGTGACCATCCTCTGGGGTCAGAGGTCAAGAATTTTGTACGGGGAATAATCCAGCTAGCTATCGCAATGGCGATAATAGCATATGTTAGTAATATGGTACGTGATAAATGTATGTGATGCAAAACACGCACTGACTCATTAGAATGCAGTTGATTGAACATTCGTCGGGGATTACATTGCTGGGAAATGCCTGGCAAGAGTATTCAAAATTGGGGGCTGAAACGGCTGACCTAACAAATACTAACATCCGCTCCTTGGTAGAACAATATATTGAGTCACTGAGGGGTGAAGAACTTGAGAGAGTGCAAAGCTCCGGAACAGATAGGAGACATAGACATGGACAAGCAAAGCTTGTAAAGCCGCAAGATATGCTACATGACATCATTCTCCTCGGAAATTGATCTTGAATTTATTTAAGTACTCACCATGGGTACTGGAGATTCGAAGAGATGTATTATTTTGTACAATTTGGACTTAAGGTGTGAATTACTTTATGTCATGTAGATCAGAGTGCGCACTTACATCCGAATTGAGTGTTCCGAAAGCGTGACCTGCCTGGGGACACACATCGCACGGAACAGGCAGCTTTCATCGAATGAATCACTCTAAGTTGCATTCCAAATCAAATTCTTAAGTCTTACATCGTAATCTAATCTATGCGGTACAGTAGGTAATGAACACTTGCAGTAGTGAGAGTCCGAAAGGAAACCAGATTGTTGAACAGGCACTACCTATATACTGAATGACTACATAATCAAACTCCGCCAGAAATATTACTGAGGCGCCCACTTTGCGCCCACTCGACAATCTGGAAAGTTCTGCCAAATCGGCATTGCCAACTGAGTTTTAATATGTAAGTCATTCTGTATTTATGGCTGCATGTTTCCAAAATGGTCTTTTTTCTGATTCCTGTAATGTGAATATGTAGTGTAGTGTAGAAGTGTAGTGCGGAAGTGTGAGTCACTGTATACATCCACCCACTGTCACAACCCCTTAAATGAATTAACGCAGGGCAGAGACTAGAAATCGGGAAGGTCACCTCAACCAACCATCCTGCTGGTTCTGCCACCTTGGAATTGAGCTTGAGTGGACAGCGAAAGGAAGTAGAGCTTCGACTGCAGGACATAGAGCGCATGTTTTGGATTGGTGACACGGTTCGAGTTGTAGCAGGCCCATACTTGGGTGTGGAAGGCCACATTATTCAGATGGTAAATGATGTATTTTGTCTTTGTCAAGACGTCTCGAAGGAAGAGGCGAGTGTCTCTTTCCACTTCAGCATTTTGCAAAATCATCTAACACAACATGTAGGTGGAAGTTTCAAAGTACTATCTAGACCGCCGCCCTCTGAGCCACATGTTGCAAGCATGACTACCAACGCAGCAACTTTTTAAGCCTCCCCCCGATGTTGAATCCATCCAAATGGGGGATTATATAGAAGTGCTTATTGGGGAGCACATAGGGAAGTGTGGCATCGTGCGTTGGCTGCCCAAAGGAGCAGACAGTCTGTGGTTCCAGGATGGAACATTGAACATTCCAGTTCCCATTTCATTCATTCGGCGGACCCACCTCCCCCACCTCCAGACATTGCAGTACACGAAAGACAGGGGTTATGATGTGAAACCTGGAGATGTTGTAAGAGTGGTTCGTGGGCCAGAGTATCTGATGAAAGGGGTCGTTCAAAGCGTCGACTTTCCAAAAGCTCGCTTGACCCTACTCTCTGACATTGACCGTTTGCTCGTTAGTAATATTTTCCTCAACCTACGCATATCTGACTTTTTCTAGGTTGACATTCCCATCTCATTCGTGGCAAAAGTACACAACACCAACTTTGATTCTTTCAAAAAGGAAATCGGTCAAGAGGTATTTATCATTGGAGGCGACCGTAAGGGCTACCGAGCCACACTGTACAGTGTCACCTCTGAGACTTGCACCGTTGCCGTGCATGGGCAGCAGCACATCAAGATCGAACTCAAGGACGTTGCAACCAGGTAAGCAGCACGCACATTTCATGGTGGATCAATTGCTTATATGTATTTAGGTACGGAATGAGGTTAAATGGATCGATACTCGAAGGAACAGACATGTTGTCTTTCTGCGAAATGCGGAGAAGATCGTATTTGGCCGCACAACCTTGAAGTGTCACACCCCCACCCGAAAAGGTTCCTTCATTGGTTACCATCACAGGCACCAGCACGTCGACATCCATGTGGACCGCCTGGACCTCCAGCCCCAATGATCAGACCGGTAATCCTTTGCCCAGTGTCAATCCCAACTCTTTGACTACCGAATCCAACCCCTGGACTGTCAACGCCGACGATACACTAGATAGCATCGATGCTCGAATGGAGAAACCCAAAGAGGGTGAGTCTCTCTACGAAGGCATTATAACATTCACCTGATTTCGTCCTAGGCCTGCTAGCTTGGCTGATGAAGAAGGAATTTTCTTCCAAGCTCAACACACATCACGTGATGTTAAAAGTTTCACCCTCCTTCATGGGAGGCAGGCTACACAACTGGTTTGTATCGACAGCCTGTCCTGATCCCTTCCTCGGTCTGAATGGACCTGCTCCCAATGGTTGTGTTGCAGTGTTTTGCTCATTGAACAGTGCAGGCGCCACGATTCAGCACTATCATATACCCATCACAGATCTGAGCCCAGCCCCTCCCCACAAAAAAAACCAACAGTGCCTTGTTCTGGACGGGAGTCATCGTGGTTCCATTTGTAATGTAGCTAAGTGTAACCTTAAGAAGAACACTGTGGATATTGTAATCGCTCCTTTGACTTCTATTAATCTGTGTTTCGATCAAATCTGTCTTGTAGAACAGGTACACACGACTACGTGACCATTATCGTACCATACCCGTACTATACCATACCATATCATTTACCAATAAACGCTTGATTCTCTGTTGTGCTCTTCCGTGTACCGAATGCCCAACGAATCCCTCATGAACGCCCGATGAATGCCCGCTGAATGCACAGCCAGTGCCCATGTCATTTTACCATGCAGAAAACTTCACATTTTCTGTATCACATTTCACCATCGGGAAAATTTAAATTTTTAACCGGAATGAGAATGCTAGCCATTATATAATACTTTACAGAATATTTTCTGCACTCAAATTTTCCATTTACCAATGGATATAATTGGATTACAACATTTTGTAATCTGCATTTTCATTTTCCTAAGCAGAAAACTTCCAATATTTTTGTCTATTTGGACAGGACTTAAAAGTTTTGTCAAAATGTGTTACTTTCTCTGTCAATTCATCATGCATCAAAATGTGTTGTTGTGTCGATGTCGAAATTTAAACTGAAAATCCTTTATTTATCAATCCCATTTTGATTTCAGTCTAGCTTGTAGGAAAATTCAGAAACCGCCGGTGTGTCATATGACCCAGATGGTGGAAATGTGTGCCACAGCTTACTACTTTTGGGACTGTACAACACATTTTCGGCAGTTGGTAGTGTACCTTGTTCAGATTATGGTCACAAATGTCAATGTTATCAATGTTATCAGCTGCTCACTCACTATTCAGACTGAGCTTGAATTTCAGTAGTGTGTCCCAACCAATAATGTTTGGTTTGGTGAATTTTTCTTTCAAACAACGGGCTCATAGTATATGTGTTAGTTTAAATTTCAAAAATGTTCTTTGCATTCCGGATAACATTAAAACCCTGTCTTAAATATTTCTAACCCTGCTGTGTGATTACAAAAACACATCAACCTGATGTAATAGACCAAGAGCGTGGTATTTAGAGATACAAGCAGTGGTCGTAGTTTCCGTTTTGGTCTGCACCCCACCATTCCGGGAAAAGGTGTGATGTGCCAGCGGCCCCTTGGACCGCAAAGGAGAGAATGAATATCATGACCTGCGTTCCACCATCAAGGGCTAAAGTATAGCGTTATGTTAGTGATCGGGATAGAAAGGCCACAAAGCTTACCTGCACCGACCAGATAGTTATATTCCTTGAACCAACGCGGGTACCTAGTACGGAGCCACCACTGAGACAAGAACGCGATCGTGAAATACGACAAAGTCGAGGAGTTTATTCCAACACAAAGCCATCCCATGTACGCACTGTACACATAATGAACTTAGAATATCGATCATTGATGAATTGAGAGCGTACCAGATGATAGGGGTATAATAGTAATCCATGCGCAGTTTCGGCCAGTAACGGTGAATAATCCAGAAAGGAAGAGGCACAACCAGGCCAATGACATAGGATAAAGGAACCCACTGGTATCTTTGACCAGACGAAAAGAGTTCATGAGCAAGGCCACCCCACGCAATGGCTTGCGAGTTGTATGATTGAGGTTGTTGGCCAGACCAGATATTTGTTCCTTGTACAGACAACAGGATTTCGCGTTGATTGTCGATGATAGAATTCATTAATTCTAAAACAAGTCAAATGTGGAGAATGAATAGGTAAGACGGCTCCCTAACCATAGTTGAGAACAGCGCCGAGTAAGGTGCCAATGATCTGTGCCGTGAATGCAGCGCGGGGAGGCAGCTTGGCGTCTAGGAATCCGCCAGTGAGAGACACCTTTCCCAACAAATAACGTGCACATACACTGAGCGATCTTCAGATCGCATAGTAGCAGCATTGCTTGAGACACGGCATTCTAGGGAGAAAACCAATCAAAAGGTCGAGGAGGTGAAAATGAAGATGCGTACATAGCTGTAAAGGACCTGTGAATACCAACATCAGTGGTGGTCAAAGACTGGAAATGATGGCAAAACGAACAAAGAACATGTTCGCCATGGGTTTTCCTTTGTGTAGGTAGCCAGCAATCATCTGGACTAGGGTTTCTTCACTAAAAGATCAACTCGGGGCACCTATAGAGCAAAAACAATACTCGCGGATGGAAAGCGAAATGCCGGTGATAGCGTACAATGCGGTGAAGAACAAGATAGACACAACGGCCAAGAGTACTGCGATAATAAAGCCCCACCTTAAAGGACATGATATAAGATTTCGTCAGATGGGGAGAGAAAATGTTGCTCACCAGGGAAGCGAGGAATCTGTCTTGTATATGACAACCAATCCAAGAATGAAGGAGATAACGAACGTCAAGAAGTACCAACTATTCGGAGCATCTGGATACTGTATAGTGATATGTTAGTAGTAAGGTCTCTATCTCGTGTCAGAGGACTAACCTTCAGCATCTCCCGGTAATGTGGGTCGAGGTCCCCCGTGTTAGCGGGGACTTCCATTTTTCCATTGTGTTTCCAGAACTTCCAATCGAAATTAGCACGCCAATTCCTCAATGTGTCCATGTTGATCCAAGTCCAGGCTGTACGAAGGTCATCTTTGTTCCACAGGAGTAAGTGAGTGAACGTTGCACCCAATGCCTGTGTTGGAACTATGAGCAAAGCATTTTATATCAGCAGTCATTCATCGCATACGAGATTGGTTGTCAGCAGGTTAACAACCCAGGTGCCGGCGTAGAATGGCAGCCCCTGTGCTGCCACTAAGGCAGGATCCACCTCATAGTTGGAATCCATAATCAAAGTCTGGTTGTAGACAGTCCCGTTCTCGTAAAAGAGGAGCTGCGCCAACTGATCGGTGTATCGTTAGCCAGGAGGTTGAAAAGCGCAACGAGAATATTACATACAAACGGGAAGTTCTGAGATTCCCAAATATTGTTGTAGAATACGGCGACAAAGACAACTCTTCACCTCCCTCAGTGATATTTTGGGATGTGACTGAAATTACATACATGCAGAGAAGATAACCAATGAAGCTGGAGAGCTAGGGTAGACGTTAGAAACGTCGTACGCACTGGTGTGCCAACTAACCTGAGCTTTCAGTGGGATAGACATCGGGTTCGAAACACCCGAGATGTACTAAACAAATTGAGTTCAACGCAAGTGTCACCAAAATCGAGATGGCGAGCACTACCTGCCAGTCAAAGCACAGGGACAATAAACCGAGGCCTTCGTTTCCATTGGAACCACCAAACACGCGAGAGACAGTAGCATTGTTAGGAGCGGCGAGGCAGAATATCGAGAGACCGGTAAGCAGTGGGAATATCCACTCGGGAAAAATCTCCCATATAAAGATTCTGAAGTCAAGATGATTAGAAATTGAATATCACATTATGAAGTTTAAACATGCGCAGTAAAGACAAGATAGAAGACCTTGAGCTTTCGACGTGCTTTGATGCCATCGTGATAGAAAGCGTCGAGCATGGAGAGCAACGGTAGAACACCGGGGTACAACATCTTCGATGGATAGAGGAGGATCCCTGAGTCAGTGTCGTGAGTTGAGATTCCAAGTATATCTACTGCCGGATGCAAAAATACCTCGCATCAGACCACCTATTCCATAGCTATAGTTTGTGGCTTCAGCGATAGGTGGAGTAAGGAGTACATCAACGCAACGCACCCGAGGAGTTGAGAAGAGAACAACAAAATGATTGATGAGCCAGTGTTCGGTACGATGTTATAATACAAACTGATGAGTCGTCAGTCACCACCGACAGAAGAATTGGATTGAGATCCCACCGTTGGACAGCGAGGACTTCCGTAGCTAATGCAGAGTTCGCGGCTGCACTGGCCATGATGATAGCGAACGCATTCTCCTTCTTATTGAAGGGCCCCTAATACGCATGAACTCCAGGGTCAGGGGCTACGTGGAAGACTCGGACGCACTGGATTCAGGTATCGGAGCAATCCACGGCGGGGAATGAATGTTTCCATCGCAAGGCCAATCACATAGGATATGATGCCGAGGAACATCAGAGATACAAGGATAGTTTGCTAGTGTCAACCCGAATGAGGCCTCCGAATTGATGTTTGATCAAGAAACTCTCACAGGTTTGAAGTAATAAATCTGGGCTAGGAAGCAGTGCAAGTGAGTAAAAGCCTCGATTGAATGATCTCGACTGCTTTACCCAGGGAACCACCAAAGGCGGAAAGGCCAAGGCCGATGAAGAAAGCTCGAAAGGTCCAAGTGTTCAGATTAGGATCGTCGTCCACGGAAATGACGTGCGTTGCAATATCTCGCTCGTTCTGAAGGACAACAATCTCGTTTGTGTCTTCTCCGGTAAAGGTCTCAATATCCCCTTTGACGTAGTGAGGTTTCTCCTCCACGTGGAAGGATTTCTCGTCAGTGACACTGGTGGTAGCCATGATTAAAGAGAGGGTACGAGGCACCTAGGTAGACCAAGGTAGAATGGGTGATATTTATCGATACGTAAATATGCCCTAAACTCAACAAACCTAGTGAGGAACGGGCCAGTGGACCGAGAGAGAACCGAAAGAAGGATAAGTCCAACTATTCTTGAAAGATAACCACACAATACAAGCCCGCGCGTGTAGTTGCGGCAGAAGGCGCCAGCAGCGTTGATGGTAAGTACCGTCTCTCTCGCATGGTCCATATGGATTCAAAAGATAACGGACTTTGAGTGAGATTGATTAACAAGTACTAGACTAAATGAGTCAAGAAGTTAGAAACCATTTGATTTGTGATAATGATAGTCAACCTCCCGTCTTAACTCGTATGAGATTACTCGACACCTTACCTGTTTGCTTGCCATTTGACTGATAGTACCGGACACACCTGCGCAGGCCCTGCACCGTGACGTACAAGGACGGTTCGACTTATTTGAAAAGCCAAAAATAGTACCTCAACATAATAAGCTGACTCAGCGACTGTGCATTGTCAGGATAATCACGTGACGTAGTGATCACCGAACGCGTGGGTATACTCAGTTTGTTCCGTCAACCAGAGGTGGCTTGACGCCGCTTTTCTCAATAATATCTGTGCAGTCAGGTTTGTTGTATACTGCAGGGTAACTGGAATCATGGGTAAGTATTTTGCTCACAGTCAA